AATTTTGGTTTTTCATTTTTTTCCCAGTAAGAGGTTTTTATTTAATATAATTTTTGGACAAAAAATCGCAATATATCGCCTTGCTTATAGTATCGCAATATATCGGGATATATCGTATCGTGACCCCTCTGTCATGATATGTATCGTATCGCCAAATTCTTGCCAATACACAGTCCTAATATTCGAACATTAGGGTCGGATATGAGCACAGAAAAAAAACTGACCCTTCGGTTTTGTATCCTGACTGGAACAAAATTAAATTTTGTTTCAAATCCAAACAGCACTGAAGTGTAGATGTGGTTCACTGAATATAAGTCTGGGTTTGCTCTGTTTATGGCTCAAATTAGAGTTTAAATCCCAAACAGGAGTTAATTTTAGACAAGTGTACATGTCCTGCAGCTTTATATCTTCATCAGCTTCAGGACATTTATTATAATATCCAAGCTCTGAGGTTTATATCAGTGTGTCAGGGTTTGAAAGGGCTTCACTGTGATGCAGAAATCTCAGACTGATGCAGCATCCTGCTAACAGCACATTGTGCCACTCAGGCAGTGTTAGAAATCCTGTCTGCACATATTGTGTGTCTCATAGGCTAAAATGCATTAATAGTAAAAATCTCCCTTCAACTGCTCCTTGTTACTTCTTTTCTAACACCCCTCACTGGCACCAATGGTCCTCACCTCCTCACGCTGTCCTCATTTCATGTTCCACCATCCTGGAAACTAAACTTTTATTCCACCTTTTCTCTTCTTGGACCTCCCAGCTCTTGAGGTGGGGTCTCAGTGGGCTGTGACCTGGTGAACTGCATGTGTGAGTAGGCCTGTCGCGATAGTCAATAAATCAATTAATTGCACGATAAATTATTTTGAGGTCGGTAAAAAAATGAGGACGATAAGTTTCATTTTCCTGCTTGTTTGTTTTCTTTGTCTCTCTCCCTCTCTGTGCTCCGCTGCACGGGGGCTCAGCTGACTCCTCCCCTCCTGTTTTCTGTGTCGGGAAGAGTGAAGTCTCGCTTTAGCATGAGAGCTCGTAGCAATAACAAACTAAAGAAACGTTTCAAAACAGAACGCAGCTACTGCAGTGTCGGAGCACTTGCAGAGCCTGAAATTCGCGGCGGGGAGAGGAGGAGAAGGGGTGGAGGCTGAAACTCCCCCAGACCCGCGACAAACTCGTCGAGACTTTACCTGTAGCTCCCAAAAATAACAGGAAACTTAAACGCACCCTTTGTTTTAAGAAAACACCAAAAAAAAAAAAAAAAAAAA